AGGATTGCTAGTCACCATCAACAACAGGATTGCTAGTCACCATCGACAACAGGATTGCTAGATACCATCGACAACAGGATTGCTAGATACCATCGACAACAGGATTGCTAGTCACCATCGACAACAGGATTTCTAGATATCATCAACAACAGGATTGCTAGTCACCATCGACAACAGGATTGCTAGTCACCATCGACAACAGGATTGCTAGTCACCATCGACAACAGGATTGCTAGTCACCATCGACAACAGGATTGCTAGATACCATCGACAACAGGATTGCTAGATACCATCGACAACAGGATTGCTAGATACCATCGACAACAGGATTGCTAGTCACCATCGACAACAGGATTGCTAGTCACCATCGACAACAGGATTGCTAGTCACCATCGACAACAGGATTGCTAGTCAACATCGACAACAGGATTGCTAGTCACCATCGACAACAGGATTGCTAGATACCATTGAGAACAGGATTGCTAGTCAACATCGACAACAGGATTGCTAGATACCATTGAGAACAGGATTGCTAGTCAACATCGACAACAGGATTGCTAGATACCATCGACAACAGGATTGCTAGATACCATCAACAACAGGATTGCTAGTCACCATCGACAACAGGATTGCTAGTCACCATCGACAACAGGATTGCTAGTCAACATCGACAACAGGATTGCTAGTCACCATCGACAACAGGATTGCTAGATACCATTGAGAACAGGATTGCTAGTCAACATCGACAACAGGATTGCTAGTTACCATCAACAACAGGATTGCTAGTGTGCCATAGCCCCTACCATTTACCTACAGTACATACCAAAGGACTGTGCAGCACTGGTAGCAGGCAGAGTGACCCAGTGTGGTGGAAGCAGAAAATTATAAAGGATCATCATGTGCCCGGAATTAGTAGTGAGGCCATGTGCGGGAATTAGTAGTGAGGCCATGTGCGGGAACACTGGCTGATTTACCGAGTTTGCTTCCTTTGACCATCCAAAAATAGGTTATGCTATTAAACCTGTCATGAGATAAGCACTCAGGCTGCCATTACTATTGTAGCACGCTCCTAGGTAGCTAGGGGAGCTCTAGCCAGATGGGTCAAATTCAGGTCAGAACTAAGAGGCTCTGCAGACCAGCTCTCTGGGATTTTCCCCTGCTCTAGAACTTTGAAGAAAGATCTAGAAGCAGTGGGCGGAGGTGAGGAGTGGTTGCTGTGTACTCTTAGAGGATCCTGGTCAATCTTCAACAGGAAGCTTGGCAAGGGACCAAGACAGCTTTTAACAATAACTGAGCCTGCTCAGAAGGAGATTTCAGGTGGAAGATGGAGAGTAAGTGATGCTGGAGAGCAGGAGCATAGGAGGGGGCACAATTAGGAAAGGGCTCACCTCGAGGCAGGGAGCTTGGAAGGAGGAAAGCTCAGGAGTTCACTGGCCATCAGAGAGAGGACCACCTGTGCAGCAGGGAAGGAGCAGCCCAGCTAGAAGGCCTGGTAGCAGCCACTAACCCACCAGCAGCACAGGAGAAGGACTGAGTGAGTAAACCTGCACCCCCTCGGCCAGTAAGGGGAAAGAGGAACTCTGGTGGGAAACCAGATTAGCTTTTTACCTGGGACTATTCACACTGCAGTGGCAGGCACTGGATTCCCTGACCAGGAATTCATTCAGTAAAGCTGGATAAGGAGAGGATTCATGGGGGGTCTGGGGTGGTACAGTAGGAGATGCTGGCTAGTCCAGAAGGACTTTTTGCTGTAAGGACTACATATTTGCTAAGGAATTTGTCCTCTGTTGTCATCCCCCTTGGGCATCACATACACCCCTTACCCTATCCAAATTCTAATTCCCCTAATAAAACTTCAAAACAAAGCTCAAGGGCTGGTTTCTGGCTCCTGATGCAAGTCTGAATGAGGAAATGTTGCCTGGCTGTGCCGGACTATAAGGGGACCCAAACTTTAGCAACTTCTAATGGGGTAGTGCTACACTATTTTTCCCTCTGCAAATGCTAATAACCCGTCTGTCCTGCTATCCTCAGTTTATTACTTTCAGTCACTGACCTTGAACGTAAGGACTATTGACCTTTCCTTGACTTCTCTGATCTTCATATCTGTTCCGGATCAATGACCCAAAAAGTATTTGTGCCAGATAATCAGCCGGACAGAATCTAGAATGTTCAGAAGAGGTCAGCAACTTTGTACGCAGCCTCTAAGGTGGCAGTATTAAATGAACACTTAGCAACAGAAGACCAAGCCTTGCTCCAGTCCGCTGGGACAATCTCAGATTCCAAGTCTCGTTCCCACTGAGCCACATATAAAAGTGAAATGAAAGATCGACTATTCAAAGATGCATAAAGAGTAGTTTTCTGGAATGGATAGGAGGAGGTACACTGGAGAGAAGATATCCAATGGTGAAGCTGAAGAAAGCGAAAACTTCAATTGAGGAGCATTGTGGGACTAACGAAAGGCGGCCCACCTCGGGAGGGGCTGGGTAGTCAGAAAGTATTGCGCTTGTTTAGGACCACCAAGTGAATGCCTGAGGCTGGTGTATTTTCAAGGGAGCTCAGTGCTGGCAGCCCAAATATTCCCTCCGTACAAGTTTCCTTCCATTGGAGATGTAATTTAACCCCTTCACGCCGGCCCTTTAAGGGTTCCAGAAGCCGGGAGGCGGGACGGGGTTTAGGGTCATGTGACCGCCGTGACGCGCCGTCACATGATTGGGAAAGGTCCCGATCGAAAGAGGACCTTTCCGTTAGTTCCGGACTTGTGTGCTGGGAGCGCGCACATATGTCCTTTTTTAATTGCGTGCAAATGTGCGTCTGCTCGGCGTCTAGGCACAGACACCGGGAGGCCACACATTTGTGTGCGGCTCGCGAGAAGAGGTTAATTAGTTTGGTCTGCAGCATCTCTTTATCGGCTACAAGCAGGGGCGGACTGACAACTCATGGGGCCCCCGGGCAATAGGGGATCATGGGGCCCCTGTGTCCTTGCCCAAACTCCAAAAAGCCTATGAAAAAGGTACCAGGGGCATATCATGGGGCCACCTACTGACCCCCGGCCCTCGGGCAGTGCCCAAGTTTCCAAATGGTCAGTCCGCCCCTGGCTACAAGATATAATTTAGAACCCCGTTCACACAGGCGTACTTAAGGCTAGGTTCACACCTATGCAGTTTGCATTTCTGCGTTGCGTTTTGTATTTTTCAACATGCCAAAACCAGCAAAAATGCAGCAGAAACGCACTACATGCTTTTATGCAGCATTTCCATTGAAGTCTGTAGAACCAAAAACGCAACTTTTTGTGTTTAAAAAAGTCCCTGACCCTTTCCAAAAAACGCACCGGGGTGAAAACGCGGAGATGTGAACCTGTCCCATAGCAAATCATGATAAATGGACTGTACTTTGTTTTTTCGAAACACTGTGCAAAACACTTAGGTGTGAACCTAGGGTCAGTGTACACCTGTGTGAGGGCTGTGTTTACCTCCATGGGATGCACAGGTGTCCTGTGCATCCGCATGCAGGCAGTGGCATTCATGTCAATTGGTATACAGCAGCTGTACAGGTCCAGCTGCTGCTCCCAATTTGACACCCGTGTGGGTGCAAGACCCTGAACGCAGACAGTATGAGTTCAGGGACACGCACCAGCACCCACACAGATGTCAAATTGGGAGCAACGTCTGTGTCTGTGCAGCCTCCGTGTCCCAACTGACACTGATGGGACTGCTTGCATGCGGATGCATGGAACACCTGTGTATCCTTTGCAGGCAAATGCAGTCCTTGCATGGATCTACATTTCGGTATGCCTGTGAGAAAGAGGCCTTAGAATGGCAGCGTGGTGCAACTCCACAAGCATACTTCAGTTTGTCTTTGCACTGCCTGTAAATACTTCTAGGAATCCTAAACAAGACATGCTGTACCTTTAAAAAACAAATAAATGGCAGTTGCTTCAAATGCTTCATTCACAACAGGATCAAGAAAAATCTTGCAAGCCAAGATTTTATTCATGGACATTGAATGGGGACTTTCACCACCTTCCCACCTCCATCCTTCCCAAAATGCAATGAAAACACGCATGCATCCAAGGTGGATGTAGCCTAATCCTGACAATTTTGTTGTAACTGTACAAAAAAAAGGAATGTTTGTGTTTTCAAACTAACACTGATCCAATTATGAAAAGTTTTATCAACTGCTTGGTTACCAAAAAAAAAAAAAAAAGGATAAGTGGCTTGTAATCATTTGTTGTACAGTCCAAAATGGAAGTGAATGGCAAAGTATAGTCATTCCTGAAAACCTTTAGCATTCAGAAGACAAGGGTGACACCTTGTGGACATTTGCTGTTATAACATGGTGGATATTTTAAAGTGTTCCTAAACCCACAACAGTACAATCAGTGTGTATATGCAGTAAAGCATGCTTGTTATACTCACTGTGGAACCCAAGGGTGTAATCCTCTGTATTGTGTAAAAAGGCTGTTTGATCCTGACTTCTCTGTCCCTCCTCTTGTTCCTATGTCCATGTCTCATCTCCTGATAAGACAGACTGAACCTGTAGCCATTATGCACATGCTCAGTTTAGTGTGCATTGCTAGAGAGGTCTTTTTTCTTTCTTGGAAGAGTGCATGTGATCAGCACAGGGCCAATCAGCACTGCCCAGACAGAGGTCAGGGGTTCTGCATCCTCCTAGAGCAGAAAAAACTCCTCCTACAAGCTTTAACCAGTGCTCTGCTGGACACAGATAGAAGTCACAAGAATGCTCTAATGTCTGATGAGAAAAGGTATTTAGCAGTTAACCAAAATAATTGCACTTCCATGTTCTGTGTACTGTGGGAGACCAGATATAGTGTATGCAGGGTCCGGGGTGGACTGACCATTTGGAAACTCAGGCACTGCCTGAGGGCCCAGGGTCAGTAGTAGGGGGCCCCATGAGATGCCCCTTGTACCTATTTCATAGGCTTTTTTGAGTTTGGGCAAGGAAACAGGGGCCCCATGAGTTTTCAGTCCACCCCTGGTCCGGGGAGACCAGATATAGTGAATGCAGGGTCCTGGGAGACCAGATATAGTGAATGCAGGGTCCTGGGGACCAGATATAGTGAATGCAGGGTCCGGGGAGACCAGATATAGTGAATGCAGGCTCCAGGGAGACCAGATATAGTGAATGCAGGGTCCGGGGAGACCAGATATAGTGAATGCAGGGTGCGGGGAGATCAGATATAGTGAATGCAGGGTCCTGGGGACCAGATATAGTGAATGCATGGTCCGGGGAGACCAGATATAGTGAATGCAGGGTCCTGGGGACCAGATATAGTGAATGCATGGTCCGGGGAGACCAGATATAGTGAATGCAGGGTCCGGGGAGACCACATATAGTGACTGCAGGGTCCTGGGAGACCAGATATAGTGAATGTTGGGGTCCTGGGAGACCAGATATAGTGAATGCAGGGTCCTGGGAGACCAGATATATTGAATGCATGGTCCAGGGAGCCCAGATATAGTGAATGCAGGGTCCAGGGGAGATCAGATATAGTGAATGCAGGGCAGTGGGGACCAGATATAGTGATTGCAGGGTCCTGGGAGACCAGATATAGTGAATGCAGGGTCCGGGAAGACCAAATATAGTGAATGGAGGGTCCAGGGAGATCAGATATAGTGATTGCATGGTCCAGGGAGATCAGATATAGTGATTGCATGGTCCAGGGAGATCAGATATAGTGAATGTAGGGTCCGGGGAGACCCGGGTATAGTGAATGCAGGGTCCTGGGAGATCAGATATAGTGAATGTAGGGTCCGGGGAGACCGGGTATAGTGAATGCAGGGTCCTGGGAGATCAGATATAGTGAATGTAGGGTCCGGGGAGATCAGATATAGTGAATGTAGGGTCCGGGGAGACCGGGTATAGTGAATGCAGGGTCCGGGGAGACCGGGTATAGTGAATGCAGGGTCCGGGGAGACCGGGTATAGTGAATGCAGGGTCCGGGGAGACCGGGTATAGTGAATGTAGGGTCCGGGGAGACCGGGTATAGTGAATGCAGGGTCCGGGGAGACCGAGTATAGTGAATGCAGGGTCCGGGGTTTAGTAACACTTTAAGGTCAAACCACTAACATAAAGTACAGCATCAACGGGGAAAATTAGGTTCAGTAATCTTTATTAATCATTATCTTTTGCAAGACAGCATTTTTCAGCAAAGGCAAACAGAAAATGACTTAAAAAAAAAAACAAAACCATATAGGTTATGGCTTAGTGCATTAAGTATATGGTGGGGGTGTATTTCCTCTGCACTGGTCTGCCTGCTATATAAACCAAACCACCCATAAACTGCAAGGAAAAGTCTGTCCCATCATGTTTAATGGTGAAGTTTTTATCTAAGATCTGCTGTGGGTTTCAGTATACCAAAATACAGTCTTCCTCATTTTGAAAATGCATACATCCTGGTTTTCTATGGCCCACAATGAAAAAACATGCATGTTTTGAAAACATTTAAAACATGTTTTTATATGGATCTGAAATGTGCTGCAAGCATAGGACAGCTTGATATTGTTTTATACACACAACTGAAAACCCCCCCCCAAAAAACAAACAAAACAAAAAAAAAAGTTGTACCTTTCTTTCCGCAGTCTCCTCTTTTCTACATTCATTCAAAGCGCTGAATTTATAAGCTTACCTGAGAGTTCAGATAAAAGGGGGCGGAGAGAGCTGAAATGACACCCCACAGAGCTCAGTGAGGAGAGCTCTGAGAGCTGATTGGAGGAAAAAGACACCCCCCCTCCCCCACACACAGGAACAGAGATGAGGCTGTATGGTTTGAGATCATAGAAAGGCAACAGTAACTCAAACAACCACTCGTTACCACCAAGGTATGCAGAATACCATCTCTGAACGCACATGTCGTACCTTGAAGCTGATGGGCTACAGCAGCAGAAGACCACCACACCGGATGCCACTCCTGTTAGCTAAGAACAGGAAACAAAGGCTGCAATTTGCACAGGCTCACCAAAATTGGACAGCAGAAGATTGGAAAAATATTGTCTGGTCTGATGAGTAGATCAGCAGTTTTTTTAAATACTCAGACCGACCAGCCTGTCTGGCAACAACCAAGCCATGTTCAATGTCACTTAAATCCCCTTTCTTCCCCCATTCTGATGCTCGGTTTGAACTTCAGCAAGTTGTCTTCACCACATCTAGATGCCTAAATGCATTGAGTTGCATGCGATTGGCTGATTAGCAATTTGTGTCACCAAGGTATTAAACAGGTGTACCTAATAAAGTGGCTGGTGAGTATTTCTGCACTATGACCCAGATTCAGCTGACAGTGGGATTTAGCCAGTGGTGACTCTGCAGGGATCCCAACAATATAGTCGGGATCCACGCAGATGCCTGACCAGCAGCTGGCTCAGCCTCCCAGCACGCTGCTGCGAACCTGAGCCAGACGCTGCAAATCACATCAGTGATTGTGTTTATTTCTTTCCTATCCCACACTTCTCCTTCAAGCCAGCCTGGCATCTGCTGAGCTCTTGCTCTAAAGGTCATTCTGATGTAAGCAAATGCTCTCCTTTCTGTATTTTTTCTTTAATCGCTTCCTGACCGCCCTATAGCAGATACACTGCTACAGGGTGGTACAGGTGTGAAAAGTGTGTGTGGGTTTTAGCATTTCCGGGTAGGGGGTGCGAGGAAGACGCGCATGCACCCTACCCATGCCACCATTCGTGGCGGTCAATCATTGGGTCCCGGCCGGTGAATGCTGAGCATCTCTGACGGGGAGAACTGTTTGTGCAGCTCGTGCACACTGCTTTGGATGGCTGTGCACAGCACAGCCATTCAAAGCAGTGTGATTACAGTGAAGCACAAACACACCCAGCACACAGTTAACCCTTTGATCACACCTCATGTTAACTCCTTCCTGCCCAGTGCCATTAGTACAGTGTCAGTTTTTTTTTTTAGCACTGATCGCTGTATTGGTGACACTGGGGATGTCAGTGACACCAAGTCAGTTCCCCCCAGTGTCAGAATGCCCGCCGCAGTCCCGCTATAAGTCGCTGATTGCTGCCATTACTAGCAAAAATAAAAATTCCAGTATCTATACCGACATTTGTAAACGCTATAACTTTCATGTAAACCAATTAATTTAGTCCATAGTGTGCAGGCAGAGTACCAAGTCATTCCTATGGGTAAGTGGAAGAGGTTTTATAAGGTATTTAAATCAGAATCAGCAGCAAAACAACCTTCATGTGAGCAATCAATGCAACAAATGACAAACTGTGTAAGAATTACTATGTAGCAGTCTTGCCCAATATCCTTTGCAAATGAACGTTTATTTAGTCAAATGAAACCAATATGTGTTCATAACATCCTATCATATAAATCAAGATAAAACTGTGAAAGAATTAGTTTTTCGTAGAATATTCTAAGTTGTACTGTAGACATGTTCTTGGAAAGTTATGCCGCTGACATAGCTAGGCGAGGATGGACGCCGCTCAAACCAAACCCCAGGAGTCAGAGAAGAACAGGATGTAGTAGGATGGCCTCAGCCAGGGGTGTCCAAACTATGGCCCTCCAGCTGTTGAAGTACTACAAGTCCCATCATGCCTCTGGGTGTGTTGCCTGTGGATATCAGTCTTGCAAGGCTTCATGGGACTTACAGTTCCTCAACACCTGGAGGGCCATAGTTTGCCCTCAGCCGTCACTCTGGCCACGCCCTACTGACAGGTTTCACCCCGCCCATAGGGAGTTTGGACACAGTGGCTCTGGCTGTGAAGCCTCTGTGACCAAGCCCATGATCTGGGCGAAACGCGCCAGTGGACGTGGCCAGAGTGACGGCTGAGGGCATCCTACTAAATCCCGTTCTTCTCTGACTCCAGGGGTTCAGTTTGAGCGGCGTCCATCCTCACCTATATTGCTAATTGTCTGGAATTACTTGGGAAGCTTCTCCCACCTTTTCTTCTTTGCCGACGAGGTGACCTTCGTTTTCTGTCAGCCTTGAGCGGTGCCACAAGCATATTCATGCTGGCAAAGTTAGGCTTTAAACTGGTAAACAAAATGAGATCAGCTAAGTCTGCTATGGGGAGCATAAGTTCAATTGACAAAAACTTAACACGAGGCTAAAGGATTTTTTTTTTTTTTTTAAATCATAACGTTCAACTGTTACTGGACAGCTGAAAATATCTGTCACTTTTATAAAAAAAAAAAAAAAACTATCCTGGTGTGTGCTAGTCAACTGAGGACTAGAACGTTCCATCAGACCTTCACATTACAATCTGTATTGCCAAAGCTTACCAATCACTTAAATTACAAATCTGCAAATCAAATAACTGAACGAATATTTGCATCTTGCATTTTGAATATACTGATTAGACAAGGGTTTGGATCCCTTTAAGTAGCTGTAAACCCTAAATGGATGACATTTAGATTGCTCTGTGCGCTGTCATGTTTTTTCTGTTTTTAAATAAAATTCTTGGTTTCACCATTTTCCCCACTATCAATGCTGCTGATTTCCTGCAGCCTCTTTCAGATTTTTCCTGTCTCACATGCGCTCACTCCAGTTTCAGACGCACATCATTGCTCTTAACTAGCTTCTGATAACAATAGTAAACCATGCTTCTGCAATGTGTGTCAGCATGGCTAATTCTAGTCTCCATCAAGAGTGTATGTACCAGGGTGACAACTCCAGATCAAAGCAGAGAGATTGTTGTCATCCTACAGCTGTCACCCAACAACAGACATTTTTGGAACAAGGTTCTTATAAAAAATTGTGAAGACTATATTAACATGTTAAAGCTTTTATGAGGTTTTAGTGATTGGATTTATATATACTTTAATGACTGCATTCTTATTCTGCAACAATGTTTGTTAACCCCTTGGATTCGGCGCCTCCCAACCCTTTAAGGGTTTCAGAAGCCAGGAGACGGGGCGGGGTTTTAGGGTCATGTGATCGCCGTGATTTGCTCTCACGGCAGTCACACAATCAGGAAAGGTCCAGATCGAAAGAGATCGGGACCTTTCTGTGAGTACCGGACATGTATGCTGGCAGCGCGCTCTCGGCACATATGTATTTCTTAATTGCACGCAAATGTGCGGCCGCTCAGCGTCGAGGTCCAGACGCAAGGAGGCCGCACATTTGCGTGCGGCCGGCGCCAAGAGGTTAAACAGGTCCTCAACTCAGATCCTCTTAGATCTGTCCTCAGACCATCTGACGACACCTTTTTGTAATAGAGAGAGTAAGAAAGTAGTGAAAACCACCAGTTTCTTCTGCAGAATTTTAAAATCTGCTCTAAAAAAAATACTTGGAATCTGAACTTACATGATACATAGCTTGCATCTTTTCCAGAGGTTGAGCACTGCCAGCAGCTTCTAGCACTCTATAGGAGTTTCTTCTATGATAGGCAATACCTCTCATGTTCTCTTTAGGTGCACTCTCAGTAGGGAGGAGACATTGAAACAAGGGCTGTCTCTCTTGATGGATTATCTTTAGGTGGATTTTCAGTAGGAACCGCGGGGAAGAGCCATTGAAACAAGAACTGCTGCTCCACATTCAATGTAGTGAAACACAAAGCTAAGTAAAGGTTTGCTGTATATAAACTATATGCTTAATGTATTTCTTACATACCATATATTTTAGAGCAGTTAACACATATATGAATCATGAACCAATAGCTCCAAGTAGTCATCTGGTTTGCAGAAGTCTGCACTTTTTTCACACCTCATACAAACATCTTTAGTAAACAATGGTACATATGCAACGTTGTTAACATTGAAACCATATTTTCCCATTTGCTTCAGTACTTTACTGAAATATTCAAAAGGAAGGATCTTATTGGCTGCTATTGGCAACCCAGACAGGCAGTTCTCCCATTAGACACTGGCACTATTGGTAGTTTCCACGGTGTTGAGTTGGGAGACACTGTTCTAGAACACATACAACATTTATAAGTTAAGGTGCCGATGGACATTTTATACTTTCACAATTGCTTATTTTATGTACCATTGGCTGTGCCAAACACTAAGCCCCCCATGAGAGGATGCACAGCCCAGAATAATAGAAGTAAAATACACTATATTTCAGTGTAGAAAGATCTTCCGAAAAGAATGGGACATACTTCCATGTATTTCACTGGGTAACAATCTTTACAGCTTGTGTGACAGATAAATTCCACTACAGAATTTCAACTGAAATATTGAGAGGAGGAAAAAAAAACAAAAACTTGGCCGGTCTTGGAAAGTCTCCTTTACATTCTGACATGGTGTTCTGGATTGTCATCAGGGGTAGTTGATGGGTTCGGTTAGAGCAGATTTTTTTCAGCAACTTTACGTAGTGACTTGTCTCCATTTTAAGTAGAGTCCACATTTTTTTCTTCTAGTTTCCAGATGATCTCTTTCCTGCAGGACAAAGATAAATCAAAAATGGGATTTATCTATTTAGTAATCGCTTTAGACACTGAGAATATATGATATAAAAGGGTAAGTTCACCTTTCGTAACATGTTACACTCATATTCAGGGTTTAACATGTAACAATCAGACCAGCCTCCGCCCCCTATCCCTGTTGTGACAGCTGGCGAGGGATCTTCTCCTCCCCACTGCAATTAAAAAAAACCCTGAAAAATGACAGCGTTTGCGGTTTTGCCTACCCAGCTGCGAAACTCATTAACAGTCTTCTGTGAATGGAAAAACTACAAGTCCTGGCAGCCTTTGCGTCTATCAGCTTGTAATTTTCAATGAACTACCACGGCACTGCACAGCGCCGTGGTGGTTCATTGAGCCTTCCTATCAATAAGTATCTGCTTGCTTGTACAGGATATACGAGCAAGCAGATATACGGACAGGTCATGGGAAACCCTGCATGGCACCAGCAAACTGATGATCGATGGTGCAATGCTTTAGTGGCTCCACAAACAAATAATAAATGCACACTTTTTTACCTACAGAAAAAAAAAAGTGCATTTATTAATTTTTTGCTAAATGGTGAACTTATCCTTTAACGCGACCCCGTTACTATAACAATAAATAAATAATTTTGAGCCATATCTGTAAAAGAAGATAGAATATACTCACTATTCCTGCTGTCCACACCGCTGAATTCAACTCCAGTGCTGAGAAATCATTTACTGAAGTGTGAAGTGAAACTAGGGGTGTCAATCTCAATGGGTGCTGACAGCTCCCACCAATTCTTCCCTTTGACCTCCACTCATTAAAAGGATATGGTGGTGATGTGGAGGTGGCCAGCAGGAGGAGCCAATTGGCTGTGGGGGGACCAGAGAGATTGACATTCCCAGAAGTGTTAGTTTCAGTGCAAACTTTGGCAAAAGATGTTCAGCAGTGAAACGGAGTTCGCCAACGTGGACAGCAGGAAAGGAAAGTATGTTCTTTCCTCTTTTACATATCAGGATCTCCGACTCAGCCAATCAGAGGAAGCTTTGTATTTATTCACAGAAAACAAAGCTCCCCGTGAATGGGTGAGCAGCCCTTAGCCCACCTTGATTTTGTTTCAGGAGCAGGACTCAGCACTGTATATGTAGCCAAGGCTACAGTTTATACAGAGCTCCCAGCCACAGCATCAGTTCACATTGGTCCAAACAAACTATTTAAACTTCACTAAAAGATAAGCCTTTAAAGCTACACAAATATCTTAGAAAGATTGTATATAAAATGAACAAGTACATTCAGCGCTCACACAATGATGAAATTGATAATGGTATATCAGTCCACAACAATTGGTAAATGAAGAATAAAACTGACTGTGCAGAAGGTAATATCACAAGAGTGTGTCCAAAAAGTCAATTCATCCGAGCGGTATGCATAGTAGGGGAGGTATGGACCACGGGAACAGAAGCACATGTGATGGGACTGGCAGCTCCTCACCAAGGATACAGGGAATCCCTCGAAGACAAGCAAAATGACAAGCAGGGTGCCAGCTCAGCGTGGGTTAAAACAGAGAAGATTTTCAATAACTTACATCTAAAACTCCCTCGGTCTGCAGGCGGGATGTGTACAATTGGCAGAAGCAATGAAGCCACAGATCACTGGGAAGGTGGAGCTGATGATCACTGCATAGCCTTGGGGGAGACCCGCTTGTGGACTCCATGGTGTTTCTCCAGGTCTTCCCGCCGAGTGAAGGGGAGATGTGACAGGTGCCTTGAATGGCAAGTGGGTGAGCTGCAACGCATTTCAGAAGCTCTGCCTCCTCGAGGGGCGGACCTGCTTGACAAAAGAAGTGGAGCTTCTGAAACGTGTTGCGGCCCACCCACTCGCCATTCACGACACCTGTCACACCTCCCCTTCACTCGGCAGGAAGACCTGGAGAAATGCCATGGAGTCTACGAGTGGGTCTTCCCCAAGGCTATGCAGTGATCATAGGCTCCACCTTCCCAGTGATCTGTAGCTTCACTGCTTCTGGCAATTGTACACATCCCGCATGATCACCGAGGGAGTTTTAGATGCAAGTTATTTAAAATAAAGCTTCTATGTTTTAACCGACGCTGACCTAGTGCCCTGCTTGTCTTAGAGGGATTCCCCATATCCTTGGCGAGGAGCTTCCGGTCCCATTGCGTGTGCTTGTCCTTTTGCTGGAAAGATCGTATGCCTTTTTGATGGGCACTAAATAAAGCTGCAGCTGGTAAGAAAGAGCATCTCTGACAAGAGGCCAGGCATTGACAAAAAACTAGGAGCATAAAATATTACATGCATCTGTAGTGTACCCCCAGACACTAGATGTGTTTCCCCACATGGTGCCAATTTAGAACAAGTACAAGTGAAGATGAGGAGCAGATTCGGAATGAGCATAATAAAAAGGGAGAACTGGTCTTGTAGAAAGAAAATTAGGATTGCTCCTACCGTCATGAACTAAACATTTTCTTTAGTTTGCTTAGGAATCCCTCCTCGTTTTCCCCTGCCTGCTCAGTCATAGGACTCTCCTTCCCAGCTGCAGAGCTCTGTCGGGTACTATCTAGTGGGCAGAAAGAGCAGAACAGGAATCAGCCCAGGACAATGCAAGTCAATGCAAACTAGCACTCATATACGAATAGAAGAAAGGTCTTTATACCCTAGCCATAACCCTGCATTTTATTGTGCACTGCGAAAATGGCAAATCTAAATTTCAGACAATTTGAAGTCCAAATTTTTTCAATGGACGTTTGAATGAATCTGGTTATGTGCAAAAACGTTTTATTTACAAGACCTACCACTGCTGACCCTTTCTCACACTATGACAATATAAAAGATAAAGCTGCTAGCAGGTATAATGTACAAGCACCAACTCCGTCCAAATGCTGGACAATGGATACAATTCTAGTTCTTTCTGCTATTGTTGAAGCTTGTCTGCCTTCTTCCACATCCACCACAAACAATAAGACAGCCCATCAAAGTGATGGATGAATAGGAATGTATGGAGACCAGGAGGTATCTGGCAAGCTTCAACACCATCAGAAGTGTCAGAGCTTTTTTTCAATAAAAACTTCCAGATATTTAAGTTGTAGGGCTTAAATCTGCCACAGGTAAGCACAAGCACCCGCCTGCCGTTCATACCTGTAAGCAGTTTTTATTTTTTGAAAGCCATATGGAAAACTTAAGAAAAATGACAGTATTAAAAGTAGAGATGCACCGAAATTTCGGTGGCCGAAAAATTTTGGCCGAAAACACCCCTTTCGGTCGTTGGACGAAATGAAAAAAAAAGCACCGATACAGGTGCTGAAAAAACCCTGCCCCTCACCCCTTGGTAGTTCTCAGCCTTACCTGAGAAACCATCAATCCGGGTGCTGGGAATAGAGATGAGTGAAGGAAAGATGGCTGCTACTCATCTCTATGGCTTTGGAGGACCGGAGTGATGTCACTTCCCGTTCCGGCCATTTTTTTTTTTAAGGCACTAGATCAATGCTTTTATTTTTGATCCAATGTTTTACATTGTAGAGGAGAGATGTGGGGTCTTATTGACCCCACATCTCTCCATAAAGAGGACCTGTCACTAATTATTTCTATCACAAGGGATGCATGCATTTCTTGTGATAAATATAAAAGTGATTTTTTTTTTTTTTTTTTTTTTTTTTTTTTTTTTAAAAGGGACAGTGCACTCTCCCAAGTAAAAAAAAATAAAAAATAAACCTCTCTAGCAATACAAAGCAAACTGAGCATGTGACTACGGATTCAGTCTGTATCAGGTGGTCATTTGAACAAGAGGAGGTGCAGAGAAGAAAGGATCAAACTACCTTTTTACACAATGCAGAAGATTAACCCCTTAGCGAGTATAACAAGCATGCTTTACTGCATATACAGACTGATTTTACAGTTGTGGGTTTAGTAACACTTTAATAACAGAAACACACCCACTTTCACTGGCAGTTTTTAAAAATACATACGGCAAAATGTAAAGAACATGACCAAATTGTGGGTACATTTTAAAGTGCGCCTGGGTACTTTTAAAACATTCCATTCCGTCTCGAGATTCCGTGTATCATCAATATTCTGCTGAGTTTGTATAGTTTCTCTTTACCTGCTGTTGTGTTGGAAATGCCATTCACCGTGCCCTCCACGTCTGTCTCTTCCTCAGCAAAGCTCAACATCAGTGCCCGCTGTCTGTCTGACAGATTTCTATGATCAGGAAAGGAATGTTAAAGATCAGCAAATTGAGGAACGTTATATAGATTTAGGGTATTTGCAAGGGTGAAGTTACTTCTCCTGCAGCACTACAGAGAGCTAAAGAGAAGACCAGAGGAGAACGGCTTGCTTTTTCCCCAATATAACATAAAATCCATCTCTTGTCTTCCTTTGAGTTCCCTCTAGTGGTTGCCAGGAGCAGTTGATAGTAGTAGTAAACATACTGCTTCCAGGCCGAAAGTACCATGTCTGAAACACCTGGTTGTCAGCAAAAAAACAGGTACCCCTCTTAAGTGACATTTTTGATCAGGAACATTTAAAAAAATAAGTCAAATTGCACCTAGTCTTAAAGTATAGGTGTGTTTTCACCACTTCAAGTCCGGACACTTTCACCTCCTTCCCATCCAGGCCAATTTTCAGCTTTCAGCGCTATCACACTTTGAATGCCAATTGTGCAGTCATGCAACACTATACCCATATGAAATTGTTAGCATTTTTTTTTTTTTGAGACAGATGAAACTTTCTTTTAGTGGTATTTATTCACCACTGGGATTTTTTTTTTTGCTAAATAAATGAAAAAGACCAAAAATTTAGTTTTTCTTATAAAATTTTGGAAATAAATAATCTTTCTTCATAAATCTTGGCCAAATTGTATTCATCTATCTTTTTGGTAAAAAAAAAAAAATAAAAAAAAAAAACCCAAATTAGTTTATTATACATTTTTCAAAATTTTTTTTTACATTTTTATATTATTTATGTTTTTTTTACATACTGTCACCCTAGCAGTACAGTGTCACCATAGTGACACTGTACTACTTGGGGGGGGGGGTGATGAAGATTTATTTATTTTTTACACCGATTGTTTTTACACCCATAAAGTCTGTAAAAGCAATAATTTCTCTCTCTCTGCTGCATTCTTGCAGCCATTGAAAATACTGTGAGAGCTGTGATTGGTCACAGCTTGTCACATGGTACAAGACTGTTGTGAATAGCCCAGTACCATGGGACCTCTGTGATCATTCACAGATTTCACACGTAGTAAGCAATGATTTCAGCAAGTGACATCTAGTTTGGCCAATCAGTGATCACATGAATCAGGACCTCACACAGAGGTCCAATACAGCGATTTGTGTACAGCAGATTGTGGTGCTACGTGCTCCCAGGCAATGGATGCGGGGGGGGGGGGGGGGGGAATGGACATTTAGAAATGTCCCCCCACATTGGGAGCCCCTGGCCATTTATCGGCATGAGCCAGACAAGAAGAAGTTAAAGAAGAAGTACAGCCAAAGCTCTTTCGGCTGTACTTCTTCTATGGATCACAGGAGTGCAGTTCGTTCTGCACTCCTGTGACCTGTTTTCAGCTGAAAAAAAGCTGAAGCCTGCTGTCGGCTGACATTGCTCACTCAGTCCAGGCTATGGAAAGATTCCAACTTTAAAGTCGTGATCCACCCCAGAGTCTGGAGTGGCATCTTGCTCAGGCTTTTAGCGAGCCGCACTCTGGCAAGCGTGGGCGGGGGGGGTTGCAAAGCAGACAGCAATGACTGACAGTCACCGCTCTCTGTTTACAGCAGCAGTGAGAACTCAGCAATCATGTGATCGCTGAGTTCTCACACTTAGAGCCGGCTGGGGACCAATGCTGCATCCACCTAAGTAAGTATAATTTGGGAAAGAAAGAAGTCTGGATTTCTTTTAACCCCTTTGTGCTGGCGCCTCCCAGCCCTTTAAGAGTTTCAGAAGCCGGGGGTTTTAGGATCATGTGACCGCCGTGATTTGATGATTTGCTGTCACGGCGGTCACATGATCGGAAAAGGTCACGATCGCAAAGGGAGATCAGGACCTTTCCGTGAGTCACGGACATATGTGCTGGGAGAGCACAGGGCACACACTCTCAGCACATATGTATTTTCTAATGGCACACAAATATGCGGCTGCTTGGCGTCAATACCCAGACGGCGAGAGGCCACATATTTGCGTGCGCTCGGCGTCTAGGGGTTAAGGTTGGATTAAAGTTAAAATAAAGTGTTGCAAGCAACAATTCCTAGCAGGGTTGCTCTACCTGCTTGTGATTTTCATCTGAGTATGCATTGTGCCGCACATGAGCAGCTCAAGTTACTTTCTTGGCATGCCTTGGGTGCAAGGATGAATCAACTCCCATGTACAAGAGTGTGGTTAAATCATCCTGGGCTGGCCCATTGATATGGCCAAGACACACAACCTTGATGAAGACTAGGCAAGGATATCAGCTTAAGAAACAGCACAAATGCAGAAAAGAGCTATCACATAAGCATGCCACAATACAAGCTTCAGTATGGTTTACAGCCACATCTCCAGCCCACTGACCTTGGAACCTTTATCTTAATGTGAAAATAGTGATCTCCAAAGCCAGGACTATTCACTTTTTTTATGCCTTTGCCGTTGAATCTAACTCTCTGATCTGGCTGCGAACCAGGTGCGATCTGCGAACAGGCAAATGATAACCACATAAAACTTTACATGTATTGCCAATTTCAGAATAATAAAACATTTTTTTAAGTTAACTCAGTATTCAAAACTAACAGCTGAATAGCAAAAAACTTACATCAACAATGATGGGTTCATAAAGGCCTTGTGCTCTGGTAGTGCCTCCGAGGACAGCTTGAGCGATGGAAACAGACAAGTCTGAGTGGAGGTCTGCTCCGTCCCGTCTGAAGATTGGACTTTTTTGCACCTGTAACAATATTACAAATTAATAGTAAATTACACTTATATGGAAGGAGAGGGCTTCAGGACAGGGTTATGTCTGCTGGTTGAACGGAGCTCACCAAGCTATCACCCAAGTAAATCAGGTGGTAAAATGTTAAGGTCTCAATTTACAGAAATGCGGAAGAAAACATTTACCATAAATCTGTGGACTTTACAATCTGCTTCCAGATATTTTTTTCCCCTTCAACCAATGTAAGTGTCTGTTTGCTGCAGCCTAAGCTAAACTGTGCAGTTCTAACACTAAAGTGGACCTGTCTAACAATACTACTGGAGTATAAAGTACCTTGTTGTGCCTGTAAGTATCTGTGTTAGTCTAAAAAAAACACATTCCTGCACATTCCGGTCATTCAAAAATCCATACATTTTAAACAGATGTTACATTATGCAATTTTCTTTCCTTCAAACATGGTTTGAAGGAAAGAAAATTGCTTGATTTCCCCATCAACACAGTCAGTGTTGATGAGGGAATTCCTCCCACAGAGCTATTGTGTTCTGCCAGCTGGGAGTCTGGGGAGCCTTCCCCACCTGCAGAATACAATGATCACTGCTGGCAGCTATAGCAACAGGCAGTGATTGGGCGAAAAAAAAACCCCAACAGCACTGAAGTCAATTGAGGGAACAACTTCAGTACAAAAAGCCTGCCCATAGATGGATTGTTCCTGCTGAACCAGCCAAATTTTGATCCATCTATGGCCAGCTTTACAGTGGACCTCATTTTGTATTTTTGCCTGAATACAATGCATTCATTCTTTAGTGTGCAGAATAAAATCCAAAAAACGGACACAATTATTAACAATATATGCTGCTCCAGTCACATCCTGTATCATTGTCCTTTTGAAAGCTTAGGATAAGTTCACCTACTGAACATGTTACACCTTTAACCACTTGCCTATCAGGCACTTTTACCCCTTTCCTGCCCTGGCCACTTTTTAGCTTTCAGTGCTGTCGCACTTTGAATGACAATTGTGTGGTCATGCAACACTGTACCTATATGAAAGGTTTATCTTTTTTTTTTTTTTTTTAACAAATATAGCTTTTTTTTTGGCGATATTTAATTGCCACTGAGTTTTTGGAAAAAAAAACAAAACTGAAAACTAAAAAAAAAAAAAAGAAAAAAAAAAAAAAGGTTTGGCTGATGGTAGTTGTAGTTGTAGTTTATCCATTCAAAGAAAATTATGAATGAATGATGCAAATTGTGACAGCGGATGCAGGGAGAATATTCCCCACCTGCTGTCCCGGGGACGAGGGAGGATCAGGGGTGCGGGCTGCAGATACTGGAACAAGTTACATGCTCCACCCTAAAAACGGATTTGTAACATGTTTCAAAGGTGAACTTATCCTTTAAGCAATTTACCTGAAAACATAACTCCGGAACAAGCTCAGTCAAGTCTAACAAGGAATTAATTTATTGTCCAAAAAAAAAAATTTAAATCGGCCAAGATTGTCCGTTTCAAACTGCACCCACATTGGACCAATTAAGAGCATCAATTAACCAACTCTAGGAAAGAGTAAAACTCTGGTTATTTATATAGAGGATGCTCCTAAAAACTATCTAAAAATGTGGTAAATAAGGCTAGACCCACCTACTCTTGCTCCTTCTATTGTAACCCTCAATTATCTCTTTAATGGAACTACTTACTATTCTATAACTGAAGGGTTAATACTGCACTAACATTCCATTATATTATGCAAGTTTCTTCTGAACTATACCACCCCCAAAGTTTCTGTATGCATTGGAGTTGGTTCCACTAAAATCTCTTTAGTGGACTTGGTACTCTGTGTTGCTCAACAAACCAGATCAAGCAAATATGATGCAAGACTATGCAAGCAAAAAAAAAGTGCAGTGTGAACTACTGCCCTCAGCTGACCAAAAATCAGATCTAAAACAGAAGGCCTGGCATTTCATAATTCTAGAACAGCCTCTCTCAACCTGGGTGCCCAGGTACCCTGGGGTGCCTTGAGGTTTCTTCAGGGATGCCTTGGCAAAATGTCGAAAAATTGCCCAAAACTTGTATACAAGCCAGCGGGTGGAACAAGCCTGCAATTTAGTTACACAAAGCCACATGTGCACCATTACAACCTTCTAGCCACCGGCGTCTTGACAACCAATGACATCATCAGTTGCTAAGGAGGATGTCAGCTGCCTGCACAGCATCCTAGTCTGACCCTCCATTGCCCCTCACCATCAGTGCTGGGCTCACATTAGCTCAGTGATGGAGAAAAACTGAGGGAGAAAAGAAACATTGGAATACTAGTCAGTACCAGTGTGCAAACGTGTATTTGCTGTAGAAGAATAAATCACCTCTAATGTTGGATGTCCTACATGTCTGGATGTTGCTGCATTATATAAAACTATTAGAATAATTTCACATTTTAGAATGAGGTGCCTCGGGACTGTCCAGAATATTAAAGGGTGCCTCCGGGACTGTCCAGAATATTAAAGGGTGCCTCTGGGACTGTCAATATTAAAGGGTGCCTCCGGGACTGTCAATATTAAAGGGTGCCTCCGGGACTGTCAATATTAAAGGGTGCCTCCGGGACTGTCAATATTAAAGGGTGCCTCCGGGACTGTCAATATTAAAGGGTGCCTCCGGGACTGTCAATATTAAAGGGTGCCTCCGGGACTGTCAATATTAAAGGGTGCCTCCGGGACTGTCAATATTAAAGGGTGCCTCCGGGACTGTCCATAATAATAAAGGATGCCTCCGGGACTGTCCATAATATTAAAGGATGCCTCCGGGACTGTCCATAATATTAAAGGATGGCTCCGGGACTGTCCATAATATTAAAGGATGCCTCCAGGACTTTCCAAAATAATAAAGGATGCCTCCAGGACTGTCCATAGTATTAAAGACTGAAAAAAAAAGGTTGAGAAACACTGTTCTAGAACATATTCTCTTTTAAAAGCAAAACAGATCCCTGCACTTCAAAATACAGACTAGATTGTCAAGTGCACCTACCCGAAATGTGATGAAAACCTCTTTCCTTCCCACTAGCATTCGAACACTCTGCCCATCCTCCACACCTGGAAAACAGAAAGAAAACATTTATTAAGATGGTATACTGGTAACACACTGAAACGTATACAGCAGAGCTTTCTGAAGACAGAAGGTATGCGTCTTTCACTTTTATCACTTCATTATTGGATAAGGAGTTGATTCCTCATTTTGGTAATGCAAATAATTTATTTTTTGTCCTTGGGACAATGCTTCAAACAAAACCACTGCTTTATAAGACAGATACATCCTACTAACAGATCGCAAGTTCCAGTAAGGAAACCCTACTCCACAGAAGCCTTGGTTATATAGAAGACTAAAAATTGCCAACAAGTTGTATAAGCAGTTTGAAATCAGAATGTAAATATATTGTATATAGGCAAGTGCTGGAAACAAATCAAAAGCAGCCAGCATACAAGGTAAAGGTAAAAACCCCTATGAGGTATATGGTATAAAAGTGTCACGCTAAACAAATTATATAATATCAAGTGAAACAGTCAAGTGCACCATATAAAGTGAAACAAAGTTCATAAAATATATAAAAATGTATTCGTGTCCGTGGAACTAAAAGGCACAACAATCACAGTGAAGGATAAAACTGTGATAATGATCCAGTGAGGGAATCCACCACCTCTGCCAGATGTAAACTCACCAGAAAGCTACTGGTAAATAGCATGTATGCACATCACATCAGGGAACCAGAAGATTCTAACTTGGACTGCTCCGGCACAGACAAAATGAAGGTGGACCCTTTCCTAGGAAGAATAGCTCACCACAGGAGCCTTCTCCTTGTCAGCCAGAACCTTTCTATATTCAGCCCGAAGAGAATACACCATGAATGTGCAGGGAAAATGTGAGCATGCTGTGTATGTGGCTGGTCACACTGACACCACAAGCCAGCTTTATGTGTTTGAAATCAGGTCTTTACAGCATTAGACTCTCCAACATCTGGCCTACATATTAGGTTCAGGGTCCAAATTCTAAATTTTGCTGCTTGACTGTGAGTGACATCCCCATCCTTATATAAGGGTTTAGCCCAGTCAGAGAATAACTGCTTCCATGTTTGGTTTCTCACACTACCTACTTTCTGACAAGTCCCTTTAACTGCCACAGCACTAACCTGCAGGAACCGGCACAGTCAAAGTCCTCTTCTGTTTGGTCTCCCCACTACCCCGGCAGGACAGACAAGGATTTGTCATTGTAGTCCCCTTTCCACCACATCGTCGACATGTTGACCTCATGACAAAGGGCCCGGTGTTAATCGTCTCCTTCAAAAAACAGACAGCATTGTTAATTTATTTGTAGCGGAACTAGAAATACCAGAATAAAACTGGCTGTAAAATACAGATGTTTTCCTTTATTCAATCAAGAAAATAAAAGCAGGAATTTGACAGATATTTTTCCTTCTGACACTTAAAGTGGTAGTAGACTGCACGAAAAAAAAAAAAAAAAAAAAGGGCCATAATGCACTAGTATGCACCACATCCTAGTACCTTATGACAGACTTACTTGTACACAGAGCCATCGAGAGTCGCACTGTCATGGCTCCCTTGGTCTTCCTTCCAGGTTCGTGGGCTCGGACAGTATGAATGGCCGCAGCAGTGATGATGTCACTCCTGCGCATGCGTGTGGGAGCCCTTGGCTGCAGTGTGGAGCTTACTGTGTGAATATCTCCTAAACAGTGCAAGTTAAGGAGATAGTTACTCTACTTACAGGTAAGCCTTAATATCGGCTTACCTGTAGGTACAACTAACAAAGTGGACTTCCACTTTAAAGGTAATTATCTTTTTTTCTCATTATGGTCAGGACTAAAGAGCATAAAATCTGAACATATTTTCTCTTTTTGTAGTCGGATAAATATGATATACAAGATATGAATATTTTGCATTCCTGTTTTGATCCAGCAGGTAGAACTTCAGGCCCCTCTTCTACAGTTTTGTTGATCTAAAAAGCTTGTTTACAGAATGCAATAGCTCATGCAGAAATCTACACAAGTGAATTACTTATCGCCTATCTCAATCTGAAGTTTCAATTTGACAAATTATGGCTGACAGCAGGCAACGTGTTTTGTTGTCTCTTTACCTAACCCATCGTTCTTGGAGAATCCTTTGAATAGTTTAAAAACTAAGATAGTTTTTCCTCAATTATTGAAGTTTTCCTCTAAGGATTTTTAGGAGGTCATGTGATAAATATCGCTGCAATCTGTTGTTCCTACCATGCCGGTGCCATTGCAATAGTGGCAGTGATTAAGTTTCGTGCCAGGCTCATTTCCTTTTCCATTGCACCTCGGACATGTATCTTTGACATTAACTGAAATCTCCTTGTTGACTCCCTTGGCTGCCTGGATAAAGGTGAGGTCCATGAAGTACTGCATGACAAAAGAAATGAAAAAATGTAAATCCAGATGAAATGTACAAAGGAAAACTTATGCTACACAGCTTTCCCTTAAAAGAAAGAAATCAGTATAACATTAATGCAAGCCAGTAACAATTTACTACTCAAAGTGTAAAACCAGACCCCCCCCCCCCCCCCAATATGTAGTATAGCTGCAGTGCCAATAACTTGTATATAACAACTTAAAGCGCTACTAAACCCAGGACACTGCATTCACTATATCTGGTCTCCCACAGTACATGGAAATGCAATTATTTTAACACACACACACACACACACACTTTTCTCATCAGCAGCTAGAGCAGTCTTGTGACTTCTATCAGTGTCCAGCCAAGCACTGGCTAGGAGTAGTTTTCATTCTGCTGTAGGAGGATGCAGGACCCCTGACTTGTGTCTAGACCAGGGGTGGGCAAACTTTTTGACTTGAGGGCCGCAATGGGTTCATATATTGGACCCGGGGGCCGGACCAAGAGTAGATGAATGATGTGTATGTGTCATCCATAGTAAGTATAGTAATATTCCCCCATAGTAAGCATAGTAATTAATCCCCCATATAGTAATTCATCTCCCATAGTAATTCATCCCCCATATAGTAATTCATCCCCCATATAGTAATTCATCCCCCATATAGTAATTCGTCCCCCATATAGCAATTCATCCCCCTTATAGCAATTCATCCCCCATATAGTAATTCATCCCCCATATAGTAATTCATCCCCCATATAGTAATTCATCCCCCATAGTAATTCATCCCCCATAGTAATTCATCCCCCACATAGTAATTCATCCCCCATATAGTAATTCATCCCCCATAGTAATTCATCCCCCACATAGTAATTCATCCCCCACATAGTAATTCATCCCCCATATTAATTCATCCCCCATATTAATTCATCCCCCATATTAATTCATCCCCCATATTAATTCATCCCCCATATTAATTCATCCCCCATATAGTAATTCATCCCCCATATAGTAAGTCCCCCATATAGTAAGTCCCCCATATAGTAATTCATTCCCCATATAGTAAGTCCCCCATATAGTAATTCATTCCCCATATAGTAAGTCCCCCATATAGTAATTCATTCCTCATATAGTAAGTCCCCCATATAGTAATTCATTCCCCATATAGTAAGTCCCCCATATAGTAATTCATCCCCCATATAGTAATTCATTACCCATATAGTAAGTCCCCCATATAGTAATTCATTCCCCATATATAGTAAGTCCCCCATATAGTAATTCATCCCCCATATAGTAAGTCCCCCATATAGTAATTCATTCCCCATATAGTAAGTCCCCCATATAGTAATTCATTCCCCATATAGTAAGTCCCCCATATAGTAATTCATCCCCCATATAGTAAGTCCCCCATATAGTAATTCATTCCCCATATAGTAAGTCCCCCATATAGTAATTCATCCCCCATATAGTAAGTCCTCCATATAGTAATTCATTCCCCATATAGTAAGCCCCCCCTGTGTCAATTCACTTACCTTTGCTCCTCCGCGCGTTCCTCTCGTATTCCCGCGCCGTTCTGGTCTTCAGGGAGGACTGTGAGAGAAGAGTTCGTCACGCTGCCCCGCCTACATCCTGGCTGCCCCGCCTACATCCTGACAGCTGCAGAGTCCTGACGCCCGAGAGGAGGGAGGGGGCGGCCATCCTAGAGGGGGGGCGGCCATCCGAGAGGAGGGGAGGGGAGAGGAGGAGAGGAGGTCGCCCGCCCGCCCGAGAGGAGGGAGGGGAGCGGGCGCCCGGCACACAGGAGAGCCGCATCTATTGTAAAGAGCCGCGGCTTGCCGACCACTGGCCTTGCGGGAGCCTAGCTCCGCGGGCCGGATTAAAAGGTCCGCCGGGCCGTATACGGCCCGCGGGCCGTAGTTTGCCCATTGCTGGTCTAGACAGTGCTGAATGGCCCTGTGCTGATCACATGCACTCTCCCCCCCCAAAAAAAAAAAACCCTCTCTAGCAATACACACCAAACTGAGCAAGTGTAGAGTGACTCCACACGATATGTCTTATCAGGAGATAACAGGGGGACGCTGGAAGAAGGGGAGGATCAGCGAAGTCAAGGTCAAACAGCCTTTTTACACAATGTAGAGGATTAACCCCTTAGGTGCCACATTGAGTATAACACGCATGCTTCACTGCATATACAGACTGATTGTACTGTTGTGGGTTTATTAACACTTTAAAGTTGCAGTGCTGAGTTACTTATATGTGTTAATCAATAGGAGCACAATGTTACGTCCACAGCAGTTGAGTTAACTTCTCAATCTCTCTTCACTGAATTCCCTGAGATATATACAATGCCAGTGTGATATTCAACTTACAAGAAAGTGTGTAAAACCAAAATATCAGTTTTTTTGGTGCAAATGTACAATACCAGGTTGATAAAGGTCCCTGCTCTTTACAGCCGCATGTTTGAACACCCTTCAACAGTCTAACTCACCTACAGCCTAACAAGCTCAACTCACCTCCTGGGGCTGATCAAAAATATTGTTGAAGTCTCCAAATGGAGAGCTGCCACTAAACTCCCCAAAGATCTTGCGGAAAAGTTCCTCTGGATCTACGGTAGGGCCGCCCTTCCAGTACTGCTGTCCACCTCTGCCGGCACCTGCTGCAAAATCAGCAGTGCCGTATGCATCATATTGCTTGCGTTTCATTTCATCACTTAGAACCTAGTGCAAGAAAAAACTATTTATAAACAAGCAAACAGTACAAATGTCAATACATATAATTATGTATAGGAATTGACTGCATGTTGGATGAAATCAAAAGAAGGGAATGCAGAGGTCGGATTATAAAAAAAATCCTCCTCCCTCTGGAAGCCCAGTGAAATTGAAAGTATATCTAATTAACATTATAGAAGAGTTCATTATTAATAGATTTCAAAATAAATCTTTCAAATGTCAACTTTTTTTTTTTTCTTTTTTTTTTTTATTATACCTACGGTATATAAAAATTGATCAGCATATTTTTCAAGCTCTATATTTAAATTTAGTTACCATTATCCTGGCATTTAAGGTGGACTTTACAGCCTAGTTACAAGTAACCTTTTCTTACAAAATAGTAAATCTTCATTTGAGTTTAGACTCACTTTAACAAATCAAAGTTATTGTAAAGGTAAGAAAAATAATAAATATTTCCTACTTACCTGCTCTGTACAGTAGTTTTGCACAAAGCAGCCCTGATTCTCCTCTTCTCAGGTCTTCTGCCTGTGCTCCTGGCTCTTCCTCCCTGCTGAGTTCTCCGATAGCAAGCTGCTTTCTATGGGCGCACTTGTGCATGCTCGCTCCCGAGCCCCGCTCTGTGCGTTTATAAGATACAGAGTGCGGCTCAGCCTCTCCCCTGCACCCTCTTCACTGGCTGATTGACATACTGGGGTTTATTTACTAAAGCTGGAGAGTCCAAAATCAGACTCACTTCTGCATAGAAACCAATCAGCTTCCAGGTTTCATTGCCAAAGCTTCATTGAACAAGCTGAGGTTAGAAGCGGATTGGTTTCTATGCAGAAGGGAGTCTGATTTTGGACTCTCCAGCTTTAGTAAATAAACCCCACTGAGTCTGAGCCAATGAAAAAGGAGAGACCCCAGGAGAGCCGCTGCTCTTGTGTGCATCGCTAGATCAAGACCAGGTAAGTATTAGGGGGGACTGGGGTAAATGAGCTTTAATTCTGATTGGCTGCTGTGGAATACTCCACTTTTTTCTCTCAATGAATAGGTTTGATGGTGACTAACATACCCAACTTTGAGGTCTTGCTGTGACCCCCTTTCCCTCCCCAATTAACAAAAATAGGATATTTCAGCTACCTCATAAGCTTCAGCCAACTGAGAGAACTTCTCCTTGGCCTGAGGATCTTCTTTGTTGGTGTCAGGATGGTATTTTTTGGCCAGCTTGAAAAAAGTAAGGGAAAAAAAAATAAATCAGAAATATTGGTTTATAAGCATCAATTTTACACAATAGGCAGACTATAAGCATTTCAAAGAAAACCGATTTCTTACACACAAAAAAAAAAAAAAAAAAAAAAGAAAAAAAAGAAAAAAAAAAAAAAAAAAAAAAAAAAAACAACACACTACAAGTTTTTTTTTCTTTTTTTTTTTATACAGATCCCGCAGTTCAACTTTTTTTTAAATTTTTCATTTGAGTTTCATCTTTGGTGGGATGATTGCAAAATGAGAGTGAAATGAGAGTGTGATGCTTCCTATTAGAACACTGGGGATGATCATGTGATTACAGCAAAATGCAGCATCCCACTACTTAGCTCTCATTTTCAGCAAATGTACTAGAATAATCTCTCTGGTTATCAGCAGGACAGAACTAAGCATTTACACTAACATAAAAGGCTTAAAGTGTATCTAAACAAAAAAAAAAAAAGAAAAAAAAAATGTAAAATATTGCAGCTGATCGATTCTTACACATACTGCCTTGGTTTTCATATTTCAGGCTAAGAACACCTTTTGGCAAGTATCTGCCAGAAATGCAGTGCCTTCATCACATCCTGTGTACTTAACCATTTCAATACCGGGCAATTTTACACCTTCCTGCCCAGGCCATTTTTCACGTTTCAGCGCTCTCACACTTTGAATGACAATTGCGCGGTCATACAACATTGTACCCAAACTAAAATTTTATCATTTTCTTCACACAACTAGAGCTTTCTTTTGGTGGTATTTAATCACTGCTGGGGTTTTTATTTTTTGCTAAATTAACAAAAAAAGACCAAAAATTTTGAAAAAAAAACACGTTTTTCTTTGTTTCGGTTATAAAAGTTTGCAAATAAATAATTGTTCTTCATAAATTTAGGCCGAGATGTATTCTGCTACATGTCTCCGGTGAAAATAACCCAAATTAGGATGTATTATCTAGTCTGTAGGAAAGTTATAGAGTTCACAAACTATGGTATAGATCTGAAAATTGATCAATCCTGAAGTACTGACAGCCAATCTAATTTCTTGAGGTCCAAGAATGTCAGAACAGTACAGATATCCCCCAAATGACCCCTTTTTGCAGAGTAGACAGTCCGACGAACTTCATAAGAGGAATGGCAAGTTTTTTGAAGTTGTATTTTTTTGTCATAATTTTTCGGAAAATTAAAAAAAATGTAAAAAATTATTTTCACTATTTTTTTTTTTTACATACTGTCACCAGTGCAGTACAGCGTCATCAAATAACTGGCATGGCGGTGAACAGGGACACCGACTGGTGGCAGTATGAAAAAAAAAATATATATTTTTTTTTATTATTTTTAATTTTTTATTACATTTTTTAAATTTTTTTTTAAGATTTTTTTTTCATATTTTACTATGACCAAAGTAGTACAATGTTACCATAGTAACATTGTACTACTTTGGGGAAGTGATCAGTATTTTTATTTATTTATTTATTTTTTTTTACACAATTTGCTTATAGCAAAGAATTACTTTGCTATAAGCAAGCATTTACCTGAATGAAATCGATTCATTCAGGTTTTTTTTTTTTTTGTGCTTAGCTGTGATTTGGTCACAGCTAATCACATGACATGTGCATGTGATTAGCTGTGACCATTCAAAGCTAGGCAGTAGTATACAATGGATGGCATGAATGAAGCCATCCATTGTATACAACTGTCATGTGACCTGCTGTGATTGGTCACAGCAGGTCACATGGTACCAGCAACGGGGGGCCGGTACTCAGATCTGTCATCGGCCGTGTCCGAGGTACGCGGCTCTGCATTAGCGCAAACTGCGCATGTGCGGGTGCACGCCAAATGGCGTGCACCCGGAATGCCAAAGCACTTTTGAAGCCCCTAAACGGCCATTGGCCGGGCTGCTAATGGTTAAAGATAAAGGTTTCTATAGAACGGGAGAAGTCTTGGAGGTTTGGTTGATATTTTGAGACCAGGTTGGTGATATAGCTGGTGGCAGAGTTGTGGATAGCTTTGTAAGTTGTTAGTATTTTGAATTTTAATCGTTGGGTGAGTGGAAGCCAGTGGAGGGATTGGCAGAGAGGAGTAGCAGACACTGAACATTGGTAAGGTGGATGAGCGTGCACCCGGATGCCGAAGCACTTTTGAAGCTGCCAAACGGCCATTGGCCGGGCGGCTAATGGTTAAACTGGTTCTAAAGGCTCAAGGTTTTTTACTTTCATGCATCCTTTGCATGACGTTAAAAACCTGTGTGTAGAAGCCCCTCCTGCCCCCCTGACACTTAGCTGAGCCCAATCTCGATCCAGGGATGTCCAGGAGAGCCTCGGTTCTCCAGGGACACTCATTCCTGGTTGGCTGAGGCAGCAGCAGGCTCCATTTCTCCTGCTGTTGTCAATCATAGCCAATCAGGAGAGGGAGGGGGCAGGGCCAAGCCACGGCTCTGTGTGTGAATAGACACGCACAGCTGTGGCTTGGGAACGCGCCTGCTCGGGTGCCCCCATAGCAAGCTTCTTGCTGTGGGGGCACCCAACAGGAGGGAGGGTCCAGAAGCGCCAGTGGGATACCTGAGAAAAAGAGGATCGGGGCTTCTCTGTGCAGGTAAGTATGACATGTTTGTTATTTTAAATGGAAACAAAAAAAAGACTTTAGTATCACTTTAAAGCACAAATATCCTTATCCTTCTTCTGTAAACTACTAATCCCATCAAACCACCATATAGTGGGGATAAACAAAGAGAGACATGTTTGAAATCCATCCTGTAAGACAAACCCCCATAGACAAAATGGAAAAAAGATGTGTAAACATGAAGGGACAGGAAGTGTGTTATTCATGGGAGCATGTACACTCCACGTGCCAACTGTTGGCTTGAGGAAGCACAGCCACCCAAATTGCATGGGCCTCCCCCCTCAGGAGAAAAAGCTTATGGAGAGTGATCTGCACTCCATTAACCTCAATGGAAGGTAGGTGAGACATCAAGGGTCTAAATGACCCCTGGGGTCTCATCAAAAAGAGATGCTGTCACAAAGAGTTTATATCATATATGATATAAAAAGTTTTTTGTTTTCTTTAAAAAAGTATCAAAAAATATAGTTACACCCAAGCACTTAGAATCCCTCCAAACACATTTTGAGCCCATCCTTCCTCCTTGACCCCCCTCCCCCCAAGTACAATCACATACTAAAGCAAACACCACCTGTTGGGGGCACCTACACATGTTACATATCACCATGAGAGAAAAGTTTCTAGATCTAAAGTGATGACTTGTATGGGGTTTTAAAGAGTCGCCAATGAAAAATCTAAAGTAGTTTATTGGCATTTTGCGGGCGTGCCCAATTTTAAAGGTTGACACGTTGGATATCTATTTGCTATTGGGTATTTATTAATTTGGCACAAACTCACCTTTTATACTGTACCAAAATTGGGTCACATATTATATTTGGGTGCCCTAAAATGAACTTTAGTATGTTTTTTACTGAAAATTTGTTCTTGATAAACAATAACACAATTATTGTGTGACAAAAAAAATTGGAATTAAACTTATTTTATTTTCCAGGCTGTCTCCTTTCAGAAAAATATATATAATGTTTGGTGGGAGGTTAACTAATCTTCAGACCTAAAATGATTTTTTTAAACGTGTGCAAAAAAAAAAAATGCAGAAACAGTTAAGCAAAAGGGTTAAAGCGTACTTATGATCTGCATTTCCCCCCTTGCATCACATATCACACCAGTTTTGTGGCATGCATGAGGCACATGAAAAAGCAATTGTTTTCTATGTACCCTTAGGGTGATCAGTCTTGATCCAGTATGGAGAAATGCCAGTCACCACAGAATGTGTGAACAAGCCCTTAAACTGAAAATTTGGACAGCCAAGTTGTTATTCATTCTAACCAAAGGACATTTGATTTACACAAGGACATAGTTTGTAGAGTGCAGAGGGCCTTGATTCAAATAGAATACTTCAGTGGATTGTGCCGTTCACAACAGGGAAATAAGTTGAGCTGCAAAAATCAATGTCAAGCCTCCAGACCTCAAACGGACTCCGGACACAATGTACTATGACCATCAGACAGCCAGGTCACGTGTGGAGAGTGGTGGGGTCGTTTGGGATTTCTGAGACATTTTTTTGTTTTCTAAATGAGCCTGTCACCTTTATTAAAGCAGAACCAGGGTGGATAAAAATCAATGATTTAAAAAAAAAAAAAATCAGATTTTTTTTTTTTTACAATCAGATTTTTTTTAAATAAAATGCTTTTTGAGAAAAATATATTACCATCCAAAGGTTATTCCATCATGAAATAAAGATTAGGTTTTTAATTATGTAGAATAAGGCTGTATATGTTTAATTTTTTTGGTAAATAAATTCCATGAATCCATTCACAATGTCATGCTCTTCCAGAGGTTTTTGTAAGATTATTGGGCAGTTTCTCTGCCTACAAGATATTATCACAGATGTTTGGTTTACTTTTGCAGTTCTCAAAACTGAATTTGACTCAGAGAGATCACATGCCTCTTCTTCACAGCAAAAATGTTATAACATGAACAGAGTTAAGAAAAAGACCTTCATCCTAACTTCTACAAACCTATGAATACAGAATCAACCCCTTCAGGGCTAAGTTTCAAGAAGTTCAGTGAATAGAATAGAAACAATATTTTTCTGATTGTTTGGAGTGGAATAGATCTGCACAAGAAGAAAGTGAAACTAAGTGTGAGGAGGAAGGGGCTGACAGTCTAAGTTTCTTAAAATATATATATTTTGTTTAGCCAAATTAGTTAACAAACATGGATGTTTAACCTCCTTGGCGGTATTCCCGAGTGTAGCTCGGGGTAGAATTTCTATACCAAGAACGGTAACCCCGAGCTACACTCGGGCTTACCATGCAGCGTTCTCTGGGGGTCCCTGCAGCACTTACCTTGTCCTTCGCTCCCACGATGGGTCCCCTGCAGCATCCCCGGCCATCTCCTCCGGCAGATGCCGGCATCTGGCTTCCGTGTTCCGGTCCCTGTGACGTCGGAACGTTCAGGCGGCGGAACCGGCAGGAAATTTGAAATTTTTAAAAAAATGACATTTTTGCTGTCATTGCTTTTTCACTGCATTTCACATACATTTTCTCCGCACTGCTTTGTCCTGTGCCCTGCCTGCATTTTGACTGTTCTTTCTGCCTGGAAACTTAGAAAAGTCCATGGCGGCCAAAAAGCATCCCTTTACGTCAAAAGCGGATTTAGAACAGCGATAGTAAATCAGAACCACTTGCAGAATTGAGTGATAATGATTCGTGGGGAAATTCATCATCAGACACTGAAAACGATTTTGCGACTTTGCTCAGCGATGTGCGAATTTGCCTCTGTATTTCAAATTTCAGTGTTTTTGGTTTGATTATATTATTGAATTAAATTTATTATTATATTATTTTTTTATGATTATTTATTAAATTATAATTTATGATTTCGTGTTTCAAGTTTTATCATTTCCGGAATGTTTAAGTAAGTAATTACTAAGAATTGCAGGCCTACAATACATAACACCAAATTTCCATGCAAAAAAATGGTACCGCTTTTGGTACAAAATTCCTGACATAATCATACCGCCAGGGAGGTTAAGCAAATCACATATGCTGGAATGTTATTGTTTCAGTTGAATAAATCTATTTAAATTGTTATTATTAAGGTAATGATTATTTTTCTCCTTCCTAAGTACAACAGAAAAGTTGTCCAAATATGAATGATTAACCTATTAAACTGGGGATAAAAAAAACTAATATGAAAAGTTGTTATTCTAAAAATCTTCATCTACTTGCATATTAAAGTTATACCAGCAAGAATCAGTCTTTATGTAGAAAACTCTGATTTAAATCAAGCCTTACTGACTAGTGATTTAAATCAGTTTGATTTAAATTAAATCCACCCTGAGTAGAACTAAACTCTTTTAAACAACATTAAAGTGGAATTTCCCCCAAAAAGGGAAGTTCTGCTTGTTTGCTCCCCCCTTCACTGTCACATTTGGCACTTTTTTTTGTGGGGGAGTGGGTACCTGGGTTTGATGGGTACCCACTTCTAGTCAGATGCACCTCGGTGATCTGAGCTGAAGGTTCAGCCCCCGTCCTTTCCCCGGAGCCTTCAGGGACATTTCAAGACAAGACTGTGGGACCATTCACTTTGCACAGTAGGGAACCGGCTGTGGAGCTGCAAGGCTTCGCTTTCAATTTCCCTTACTGAAGATGCCAGCACCTGCACCCGAAGCCAACTGAAGTATTAGCTCAGGTGAGGACATCGCTGGATCCCTGGACAGGTAAGTATCCTCATATTAAAAGTCAGCAGCTACAGAATTTGTAGCTGCTGACTTTTAATTTTGTGGGCGGAGCCTGCAGCTCTGCTTTAACTATTTAACCACTTGCCTACCGGGCACTTTTACCCCCTCCCTGTCCAGGCCAGCATTCAGCTTTCAGAACTGTTGCACTTTGAATGACAATTGCACGGTCATACAACACTATACCCAAACTAAATTTGTATCATTTTTTTGAGACAAACAGAGCTTTCTTTTGGCGGCATTTAATTACCACCGGGGTTTTTATTTTTTGCTAAACAAACAAAAAGACCAAAAATTTTGAAAAATGTGTGTAAATTTTTTAAATAAGTGATTTTTCTCCTTCACGGATGTGTGCTGATGAGGCTTCAGTGACGGGCACTGATGAGACTGCACTGACAGGCGGTACTGAAGGGCACTGACAGGCATCACTGAGGAGGCACTAATAGCCAGCACAGATGGGCATTGAAAGCCAGCACAGATGGGCATTGAAAGCCAGCACAGATGGGCACTATTGGCTGCACAAATGGGCACTGATGGGGCTACACTGATCATCAAGGCACCGATGATCAGTGTAGATGACCCCCTGAGAAATGCCGCTTATCGGCTCCCCTCTCCTCACGTGCTGTCAGCATGAGGAGACGACTGCTGATAAACGACATTTCCCATTTACACTGTGATTGGACACAGCTGGTCACATGGTAAAAGGCAGCTCTGATTGGTCCTTTACTTGGACAGGTGATCAGCTGTGTCCGAAAGACACAGCCATCATAGATCGTGCACGGCGCGAGCCCCCTGTGGTTCTGGGAGGACGTCCATGGACGCCCTACCAGAACTAGCCGACCGTGCTGTAGCCGTCTTTTGGCTATAGCGTGGTCGGGAAGTGGTTAATTCTCACGCTGCTAGCCTTCGTAAATAGATAGGATATTTTGTTTAATTGTTTTAAACTTTTTTTTTTTTTTTTTTTTAACATGCATTGATGTCATCAGCCAAGAAACATGGTGCAGATGAATCCCACCACCTCAAAGGCAAACAAGAAGCAGCGAGGAGCACATCGCAACTCCCAGAAAAAATACCTAATTGATCATTATATATAGACACTAGTCTCATTAATCATCACCACATTTTTGGTACCCTCCTTCACCCTCTTCCTGTTGTCTGCACTCTCTACACACAGGCTATTCTGTTTCTGCCTTTTAGGTCTTTTTCACTTGGTCCTGGAGGACGATAGACTTTTTTATCTCATGCATGTATTTTTAGTTGCTGCTCCTCAGTTATTATTATTATACAGGATTTATATAGCGCCAACAGTTCGCTCAGCGCTGTACATTATAAAGGAAGACAGTATAAGAGACAGTACAGTAACAATACGATTCAATACACGAGGGGATCAAGGGCCCTGCTCCTCGGAGCTTACAATCTAGGAGGGAGGGGATAGTGGTACAGAAGGAAATAGCTGTGGGTGAGATGGAGTGGTAGGAAGAGTGGAGGAGTTCAGTAGTTAGCTGAGGGCGGGGTAGGCTTCCCTGAAGAGATAGGTTATCACCTTGGGGTGCCATGTTTTTCTCCCCACAACTCCAGGCCAGACACCGGCAGCGATTTCCATTTGGAGACGTGGTTAGACTGCTTATATAGCCGATTTGTAAGTATTGTTCTATCAATGGACATTTATATGTATAAATACTATACCATCTCTACCCAAACCCTGTTTTGAGGGAATTTTGTGAACACACTCTATGATACTGTTTTCTAGGCTTACAGACTTCATATTGGACATCTCCTCCTGAAGAAGTGAGAATAATGTCACGAAACGCATCAAGCCACAGGATGCACCCATTATTATGTTTTGCAAACACTTAGAAAAATGGAATTTATACACGTATTATGTGAATGTTAGACAGATTGTATACCGACATATGAAAGTGTTTACAAACCAGCTCGACTTTTTTTTAAATTGCTTTATTTATATAAAAAAAGGTTTTCATCTATTATGCAATAAATCTTTTCATGTAACTGGATGGACTTTTGTCTTTTTCAGCCAGACTAATTATATGCAAATGTTGTACCTCATTTAAAGTCCCATCACAAATCTGTTCTTGTTCTTTGTCTATGTAAAGGGGAACTCTGCTAAGGGATATTTAAACTGGTAACATATGGCCAATGTAACGGCTTAAAAACTCTAACACTTCCCATGGTGAGACACAAAGGACAGTTCTGAGGGTTTTCTATTGCTTTTGACAATCATGCACATAGGTTGGTGAGGTGGTTTGGGAAATCAGCCTATTTGCATATAATAATAATATAAAGGACAGTCCACTTAGCCATCCTGATGTAAACCAGTCACCCTTTACCCATATACAGCAGGTAACTAGAATGCGGCAGTCATGACTTGCCCGATGTTTACATTTCATGCTGGTAATCTTCCTCCTCCTTGACTGAGCCTGTGCAGAGGGTCTTTAGAGACCATCTCCAGAGACTAAAGATGATCGAAAATATTACCATAGAAGTCTGAAGACCCTCTGGAGGGGAGGAAGTCTGCGTCTGCAGGAAGTAGACATTGTGGCAGGCCACTGCTGTGTAACTCAGGTAAGTAAGCTGCGGGGGGTGGTTGGGTAGTGTAGGTCTGTATGGCCGGGCAGGGTGGACACGCCCAGAGGTCTGCTTTTGTAAACCCATTACCTGGTAATAGGCCTTCTTTATTTCTTTCTGGCTCGCATTTCTGGGGACCCCCAACACCTGGTAGAAGTCGGTTTTGTTGCACGCGGATGAACTTGTGTGAAATTGGGAGACATGACCTGTGTGGATTGGAAATACATGACAGGAAGAGTGATACAACAATTACATCTATACACAACAAACCTTTCATACAGAGGGTTTATCTTCTACTCCTAGATCACATGAAATACAATATATTATAGAAACATTGTGCAGCCACCAACAATGCTCCAATCCAGCTGAGGGCAACCTGACCGCTATAGGCGCACTCAGAGGGCAACCTGACCGCTACAGGCGCACTCAGAGGGCAACCTGACTGCTACAGGCGCAATCAGAGGGCAACCTGACCGCTACAGGAGCAATCAGAGGGCAACCTGACCGCTACAGGCGCAATCAGAGGGCAACCTGACCGCTACAGGCGCAATCAGAGGGCAACCTGACCGCTACAGGCGCAATCAGAGGGCAACCTGACCGCTATAGACGTAATATCCTGCCCTCAGCTAATAATGGAATCTTCTACTCTTCCAACCAGTCCATCCCCCACAGTTGCTACCTTTTGTACCACCAGCCCCTCCCTCCTAGATTGTAAGCTCCAAGGATCAGGGCCCCCCTATCCCTCTTGTATTGAACTGTATTGTTGCTGTATTGTCTCCCGTTCTATTGTAAAGCACTGAGCAAACTGTTGGTGCTATATAAATCCTGTATAATAGCAATCAGAGGGCAACCTGACCGCTATGGGCGCAATCAGAGGGCAACCTGACCGCTATGGGCGCAATCAGAGGGCAACCTGACCGCTATGGGCGCAATCAGAGGGCAACCTGACCGCTATGGGCGCAATCAGAGGGCAACCTGACCGCTATGGGCGCAATCAGAGGGCAACCTGACCGCTATGGGCGCAATCAGAGGGCAACCTGACCGCTATGGGCGCATTCAGAGGGCAACCTGACCGCTATGGGCGCAATCAGAGGGCAACCTGACCGCTATGGGCACATTCAGAGGGCAACCTGACCGCTATGGGCGCAATCAGAGGGCAACCTGACCGCTATAGATGTAATCAGAGGAGAAATGTGGTTATAGAGCTGTAGAACTACAACTCCCAGAATGCAGTTTTCATCCTGCCAGCAACAGAGGCATGCTGGGAGTTGTAGTCCTGCACAGACAGCGGTCAGCTCCTGCAGCATGCAATGTAACCTTGAGCATGTAGCACACGTGTAGCCGGGGGCGCTCACTGCCCTCCACTCACCTCCTGCGAGGACTTGGGCCCCCACTACCCGCAGAGCCAATAGCTGGGCTGCCTCGGTTCGGGTCCATCGGTGTACTCCCGGCAGCAGCTGTCCCCTCACCCCGGACACTGCCACTGCGCACCAGCGCAAGGAACAGCGAGCCGCCATCTTGCCGGCAACCATTAGCAGTGCGCATGCGTTATAGACAACACCTGGGAAGAATGTCACATTGTAGCAGCTGGTTCCGGCCACCAGGGGGAGACGGAAGTGATGTCGGCGAAAAGACAGGAAGTGGGCGGGGCGGGGCGGGGCGAACTGAGAGCCAGGGGAACGGAAATGTTATTGTTCCTATGTTGTGTGTGTCAGGGTGACAGGAGGGAGAAGGGGAGGATACCATTACAGGGTGACAGGAGGGAGAAGGGGAGGCTACCATTACAGGGTGATGGGGGGTCGTTGTATAGTCACGTGTTGGTTACAGAAACATTGGTGAGAGGGTACTGTTACTGGAGGGTAAGGGGGGAGTGACAGGGGGCGCAGTGCCAGTGTTACTGGGAGGTGTGGGGTGCACTGCCCTGGGTGGCAGGACACTGTCAGCAATACAGGGGTGCTGGGCAGGGGGCATTATAGGTGTCGGCGCTCTGGGGTGACAGGTAAGCGCGGTGTTGGTGCTGTGGAGTGACAGGCATGGTGTCGGCGCTGTGGGGTGACGGGTAGGCGCGGTGTCGGCGCTGTGGGGTGACGGGTAGGCGGGGTGTGTCGGCGCTGTGGGGTGACGGGTAGGCGCGGTGTGTCGGCGCTGTGGGGTGACGGGTGGGCGCGGTGTCGGCGCTGTGGGGTGACGGGTGGACGCGGTGTTGGCGCTGTGGGGTGACGGGTAAGCACGGTGTCAGCGCTATGGGGGGTGACGGGTAGGCGAGGTGTCAGTGCTATGGGGTGACGGGTAGGCGAGGTGTCAGTGCTATGGGGTGACAGGCGTGTGTCAGTGCTATGGGGTGACGGGTAAGCGCAGTGTCAGTGCTATGGGGTGATAGGTAGGTGAGGTGTCAGTGCTGTGGGGTGACAGGTAGGCGCAGTGTCAGTGCTATGGGGTGACGGGTAAGCGCGGTGTCAGTGCTATGGGGTGACAGGTAGGTGCAATGACGGTGGTAATGTGAAAGGAAACATGGGTGATGGGTGGGTGCACTGTCAATAATGCTGGGTGATTGGAAACCCAAAACCAGGAAATAAAAATCAATTGCAATAAATAAAATATATAAAAGGCTTCCACTCTTCTTCTCGAATATCGATAATAATAAGGATATCCATATAAGGTAACTAAGGACCAATAAAACCCCGAAGGAGAAATGTATAAATACTGCAGTAAAGTCAATATTAAATAAGTATTATTATACAGGATTTATATAGCGCCAACAGTTTGCGCAGCGCTTTAAAGAATGAAAGTAGACATGACAGTTACAACACAATTTGGCACGAGAGAAAGCAGAGGGCCCGGCTCATTGGAGCTTACAATCTAGGAGGAAGGGTTGAGTAATACAAAAGGTAATTGTGGGGGGAGGGGTTGATTGAGGAAATAAAATGCAGCTTACTAGTTAGAAGCAGGATAGGCTTCTTTAAAGATAAAGGTTTTCAGGGATCGTCTAAAGGTGGATAGATTAGGAGACAGCTGGACAGATTGGGGTAGGGAGTTCCATAGGATGGGAGAAGTCTTGGAGGTTTGGTTGATATTTTGAGACCAGGTTGGTGATGTAGGTGGGGGCAGAGTTTTGGATGGCTTTGTAAATTGTTAGTATTTTGAATTTTATTCGTTGGGTGAGTGGAAGCCAGTGGAGGGATTGGCAGAGAGGGGTAGCAGACATTGAATGGTTGGTAAGGTGGATGAGCCTGGCAGCAGAATTCATGATGGACGATAGCCTACAGTTGCAAGAAAAAGTATGAGAACCCCTTGGGATTACGTGGAGTTTTGCATGAATTGGGCATAAAATGTGCTCAGAACGTCATCTAAGTCACAACAATAGAAACAACACAGTCTGCTGAACATAATACTACACAAAACATTAGATGTTGCCATGGTTTAATTGCACATAACATGTAAACATTCACAGTGCAGGGAGGAAAAAGTATGTGAGGCCCTAGCTTAATGACTTCTCCCAGAGCTAATTGGAGCCAGGAGTGAGCCAACCTTGACTCCAATCAGTGTGATGATATTGGATGTGCTGCTGACAGCTGTCCTGCCCTTAAAAAACACACACCTGTTTTGGGTTTACTGGTTTCAAGAAGCACTGTCTGATGTGAACCATGCCTCGCAGAAAAGAGCTCTCAGAAGACCTACGATCAAGAATTGCTGACTTGCATGAAGCTGGAAAGGGTTACAAAAGTATCTCTAAAAGCCTTGATGTTCATGTGTCCACTGTAAGACAGACTGTCTACAATTGAGAATTGAGAATAGGAGAGGTCCAAGGACAGGACCTTGGGGGACCCTGACAGAGGAGTAGGAGAGGAGGAAGTAGAGTTGTGACACTGAAGGTGCAGTGATAGGTAAGATTCGAACTAACGTAGAGTACAGTCACGGAGACTAAGTAAATAGAGGTTTTTTTTGAGGAGGGGGTGGTCAACTGAGTCAAAGGCAGCGGAGAGGTCCAAGAGTGAGAGTACGGAATAGTGACCATTGGTTTTAGCAGTTAGTAAGTCGTTCATGAGTTTTAGGAGAGCAGTTTCTATGGAGTGTTGTGGGGGAAATCCAGACTGAAGGGTATCGAGAAGGTTGTTCTCAATGAGGTGGCAGCTCATTGTAGAAATGTTGTTCAAGGAGTTCAGATGCAAAAGGGAGTAAGGAGATGGGTCTTAGGTTGCTAAGACTGGCGGGGTCCAGTGAAGCCTTTTTAAGTATGGGGGTGACTAGTGCATGTTTTAGAGGGTTGGGGAAGATCCCAGTAGAAAGGGAGAGATTTGAAGATATGAGTTAAAGTGTGAAGGATAGAGCCAGAGGGTGACCGTAGTATTCGCAAGGGAACAGGAGACAGGTGGTTAGGTAGGCTTTAGAAAAAAGTTTACCAACCTCCTCTATAGTAGCTGGGTTAAACAAGGGAAGTATAGATTGTGCAGGTGGACAAGGAGTGTAGGGTGAGGGAGATATCTGTACAGTGGAGATCTCGTCATGAATTGTATCCATCTTATTTTTGAAGTGATTAGCGATCTGGGCAGTGAGTGAGTTACTGGGTGGAGGTAAAGAAGGACAAAGTAGAGACTTAGAAAAGAGTTGACTGGGATGGCGTGAGAGGGTGTTAATGAGAGTGATAAAATAGATCCGTTTGGCAGTGTGGAGACAGGAATTGTATTTCTGAAGGGCAGATTTATATTGGTCGAAGTCTTGCTGGGTCTTATGCCATAAACGGTCAAGAACACGGCTATGTTTTTGAGGCATGTGGTATTTTCTGTTTGCCAGGGCCGTAGCGGTCGGGGCCTAATTCTGTGTGTAGTGAGGGGGGCCAATGTGTCCACAGTGGATGACAGTGAACTGTTGTAGATAGAAGTGGCCAAGATAGGGCAGGACAGGGCTGAGATTTTGTCAGAGAGACAATCTTTTGCAGAAAAAAGAAGATAATGGTTAAGAGAAATAATCAAGTTTCACATTTATTTAATTTCCTTGGAGGTGCAATTTGCAAACACCTGTTTCTCTTCCAAAGACAAATCAGCTTAACTTTAGACTAAAAATGCCAGGGCAATTTCAAAATTTCCCTTTTTTTCTTGGATTCTCTATCACCTTCTGGAACCTCTTTTGACTCCATTCCTTTTTTTTGACCTTGAATGGGGCCCCCTGAAAACGGTGAGAATTAGGGGCATGCCGACCAGTTGTTCCTCTTCTTGGATTACTATTTCCACGATATTATAAATTCTAAGGGTGATATCTCATGGGAAACCTAAACCTTTCCTCCTCAGCTATTCTGAGAAGTTCATAATGACTGGACATTGGAACATTATGTCCACCATTCAGTCCAATCCATAATCTAAGTATAGGAAGAATACTATTCTTCCTATATGATGACCCATAGCCTCTCCTATTATGGTTATGAGCATTTCTAGGAGAATCTACAAAATGCTTCCCTCTTCTGAGCCTCATACCATTAGATGGGAGGCAGTAGCGGTCATCACTATAGTAAGTCCTTTAATGCCCATGGGTATTGGGTCTCCCCACTCATTACTCCTAACCATATAGTTCCCTCTCCTCCCTTTGGGGTTTATCCTCAACAGAAGCAGATTGGGAGTCATTATATTCTTTGGTGTGTGTCATGGATAAAATGCACGCCCACAGTGACTAGCTAACAACGGCGTGGTCCATGACTTGGAGTTAAAAGGGAATAAAGGGGACTTACTTTGAGCATATAAAATTGGCCGTGATACCCTTTCACAGCCTGCACTACCTCTGGCCACCACTGGAGGGAGACTCCAATCTAGCTGACTGACCACACACAGGGAGATACAAATCTTACATACAATCTGGTGTACTCTAAGGGTTGGGGAGCAGTCTAACAATTAGCACACCCTTCTACGGTTCCTCCAGCTATCCTACAAGCTAGAACCCCATTGTTATTCACTCTTCCTACTGTCCACATCCCCCCTCACCAGACTCACACACACAAATGGTAGCTTGCCACCACCCAACAGTTTGTCCGCAGACTGGTTTGCTGGGCCACCACACACACATCTCCATCTGGCAGATCTGCTACTTTACAATTTGCATGCAGTATGTGCCAACACACAGTGCAATTGCATACAGATTGGCAATGAACTTAGACTGAGCACATAGACACTACAATACAACAATCTCTCTAGAGATATGAGCCCGAGCTTTAATACACAGAAGTCACTTAATAATTTTACAATTTAATATACCAAAAGTGGGCAGTGCATAAACTATGTACAAAGAAAAAAGTAAATACAAGAAAGACAAAAAGACACACAATTGGCTATTCACTATAAAATAAAAAGGGAATAAAAACAGAAATAAAACTTTTACCAAGATTTATCCTGTGACTTGAGCAAGTCAAAAGAAAGTCTGCGATTCGCCAGTCAAATGGAACTGGCTCCATACCAATCACGCCGTCCATATCTCAGGGTCCTCAATTTATTAAAATATGGATGTGGGCTGGGCTTTAGGCCTTGGCCAATCA